GGTTGGGTTGGGAATCCTCTGATCCAGGTTAGGAATCCTCTGATCCAGGTTAGGAATCCCCTGATCCAGGTTGGCTTAGGAATCCTCTGATCCAAGGTTGGGTGCCCTGACACCCCCAGACCCCCGCAGTGAGGACCAGCAGAGCTCAGGGCCTCACAATGGGGCTCTCAAAGCCAAGCTGTTGGAGATTTCCTCATCATAAACTGGGAAAAACACCCAGAATTGAATGAGAATGTTGGTGATGGTGAAGTGGAATGAAAAGTCTCACTGAGACATCACAGAATCCTGGAATGGTTTGGGTTGGAGGGACCTTAAAGCCCATGCAGTGCCACCCCCTGCCATGGGCAGGGACACCTTCCACTAGCCCAGGTTGCTCCAGCCTGGCCTTGGACACTCCCAGGGATCCAGGGGCAGCCACAGCTTCTCTGGGAAATCCATTCCAGCCCCTCCCCACCCTCCCAGCAGGAATTCCTTCCCAATATCCCATCTCTCCCTGCCCTCTGGCACTGGGAAGCCATTCCCTGTGTCCTGTCCCTCCATCCCTTGTCCCCAGTTCCTCTCCAGCTCTCCTGGAGCCCCTTTGGGCCCTGGAAGGGGCTCTCAGCTCTCCCTGGAGCACTGACTTCTTGGAAAAGGAAGAAAAGCAAGATCCAGTGACTATAAACACATTATTCCACCTGCCCAAAGGCCTCTCCTCAGTGCCCACCCTGCCCTGAGTGGCTCCACGTGGATTAATGGGGGACTGTGGGGTGAAAGTGCAGAAACCTGGACAAATATCACCCAAATACACCCAATAAACAGGCTCCAAGTCCAACCTAAACCCACAGTGAATTCCTAAAGCATCCCATTCGTCCAGGGTGCTCCCAGCCAGACCCAGCTGGGACTGTTTTGTGATGAAAGGTGACCATGTGAATTATTGTCAAACAACAGGGAGCCCTCAGAGGTGGAGTTTCCCAACGTGACAGCTCAGGAGAGGGATCCATGAGCAGTGCCAGATCACCTGGATGTTCCAAGGGAAGTTCAAGGTCAGCCAAAAGAACTTGGGCCTCCTGCTGGGATCACAAAGATGGGAACTGCTCTGGGCAGAGCCAGACCACAACTGCTCTGGAGCCTTGCAGCAGACACCAGGCAGCTCCTCTTTTAAAATTGATGGGTAAAGGAGAAGAAATCCTGCTCCCTTTCCCTCTCCCAGCCCGGAACAAAAGGGGAACATATTGCAACTGTGCCCAGGGAGAGAGGAGGAGGAGGCTGCTGTCTGTTCCTTTAAATGTAATGTTAATGCCCTGTAATCAGCTTTAATTTTTAAACAGGCCCAGCCCTCCTGTCCATTCCCCCTAATTCGGGACACGTGGAAGGTAAATGGGCTGTGCTGGTGACAGCTGGGGAGCCTCA